ACGTCCGGGAATCGAACCGAAGACCTCTGGAATACGCGCCTGGCGTGCAGACCACTACACCACAAAGGCGTGCCAAGAAGGCGGTAGAAACACCTTATATATTCCCCCTTTTAAAGGGCGGCTGGCGTTTTTAGGCGGCACCCAGGAGAATCATCATTCAACACCTTTTTAGTTCGGGCACCAATATAGAGACATTAGGATTTTTTGGAAGTATGAAAGATGAAAAATGAGCAACACCTTCGCCGGAAATCGAACCGCGGGGCTCTGGGATACGCACCCAGCGTGCAGACCACCACGCCACGAAGGCTTGCCAAGAAGGCGGGAAGGAACACCTTATAAGTGTATCAAACTGAAATTCTACTTGAATATCTTTGCCCTACCATAAAGATGCCTTCATTCTTACACTTTTCCAAGATAGAAATTGAACCTCTCAAGGGTGAAGGTACTTTTATGCTGTGCACCCTTACGAAAGTCTGTTTTTCCAAACACAGGATGGCTTGTAGAAAGGTGCCGGCGCCATTATGATGCGGTACGCGTTATGGTCACAACTCTCCTTGCTATATAAAGCTCTTCATTTAATTTGAGTAAATTATGACTATATAGATTATTAATTATGACTATGTAGATGATTAAATGGTTCTGAATTAAATAGTTAAATGCTGGAAAGAGATTTAAAGATGTTAGTTGGAAAACAGATTTGTACTTCAGCGCCCTTAACATAAGAATGATTTAAATCTTTTTATAAAGCGAAAGGGGTTTAAGCTTTTATGACTACAGGCCCTTATCTCTAAGTCATCTCCACCTTGCCACGGGGTATCCGAGCCAGTTTCCCTTAGAAAGTCCTCCACCAGAGGCGTAGCTATAGGGGGCAAGGGGGGGCATCTGTCCCCGGGCGCAGAATGGAAGGGGCGCCAAACTCATGTTACGACATTTTAGAATTAAATGCTTTCCATCCTTGGCAAGCAGTAGGGGGCGCGAAATCTTCAGTTGTCCCTGGGCGCTGAAAACCCTAGCTACGACTCTGTCCTCCACGAAGGCATCCCTCCCATTTTGCAGATAGCCTTCGTGTGCTTTACCGTAACCAAATAAACCAAAGTCAACCAACTACCTTACCACGATTTCGTACTGCAGATGATAGCCAGACTTTGCTTATTTAAAAAAGAAAAAAGAGCCGTTAATAATAGAATTTACGAAAAGAGTATACCAGAATAGTAACACGACTTCATTTTATTTTTGTAATATTATTATTACCTGTAATAAGAATACTTAGTCTTTCTTGTCTTATATTAGAAAGATGAAGAGAGGAAAACAAAATTTTGGCATGGAAGCACTATGAGCTGATCAATGTTTATTAACATTTAATAATGTTTTTACCCAAACATTACATACAGTGAAGTTTTTCATTCCTCAGCCAGGTTCAGAACAGACGGATAAGAAAACAGCAGCCCCCCCCGAGACACTGGCCATGCTTATTCTTATACGAAGTATTCCAAGCTACTTTCGCCCCCCCCCCATTACTCAAAAACTATTATACCTACAATCTTACAATTTTGTATGTCTAATAGAGCTCCTTTGAACACTTGTACTGCAAAATTTCATTAATCTTTCTCTTATGTTTATGGAATTATTTAGGTCTAAAAAGTCTCATTTTTATCGCTCACTGACTAACTCGCTAATCAAAAACCTTGTAGGATTCTCCGCTGTGTAATTCTAAGTTACCGTTGAAAGTAAAGAATCTTAAGAACTGATAAACGAATAATCGCTTGAGTTCGTGTGACAGGAAACAACAAGATGGAAGGGTAAAATAACTCTTTATTATTAAAGTCAAGATTTAACGGAACTTCGTCTTGGAGTTGTACAATAAAGCCGACACTTGGGCTTCAACTTAAGAAACTAAGAATTAAACTAAACTAATCTTTAGAATTTTCATAACTCTGTTAGATAGCCGAAGCTATCGAAATTCTAACAGAGTTGGCCTTAATGCTAATTGACTGCGAAGTTATCAAGGGCCTAAATAGGCGGACGCGTACAGCCAGAATATTTGAACTATAGGATTGTACATATAAGAATGTAGAACTTCGCGGTTATGTACCGCTCTTCCTCATTAGCATTCGGACGTGATTCTAAAATTACGTTCTGGCCCGAAGTGGTAAGTTGAAATTAAGAATCGATAGGAAAGGAAGTTTAACTAAAAATTTAACTGTTAATAAAATTAACATAATCATTACAACCTAGACCACTTCTCAATAACCTAAATACTTGAAACTTGGCATCAAGGTAGAGCATTAGATATTTACAAAGAATAAAATTCTAAAAATTCCAAAAAACTACATTATTATCGAGGTTAAACTTAAATTTCTAATTACCAAAGTCAACGTTTTTGAACGCAATTTATTGATAATGAAAACTTGCTAAGTTAGAAATCCAACATCAAAGAAAGTAATAAATTGTTTTTTAAGTGAATTTAAGAATGTTGTACTTTCCTACAGCTATGATTAAAAAAACTTCTATTGAACTTGCCATCCGTTAGTTCTCGACTCTTTTGTCGGTGAGAACGTCGTTCCTCCCGAACTTAACCCCTTTTCCATATTTATGCTGTTGGTATGATTTTAATTTCATAAGTGTTCATTTAGTTTGTTGACTTTGTTGCCCATTGTTGCGCAAAATTGAGTTATGTTATAAAATAAAGCATCAAAAAATTATCCATTTTTGCTTGACATTTATTTAATATTTAATTTCGTTTAGTCTTAGTTTAGTTTTATCCTAAAGTCTCGAAATGTATATGTTACCGTGAAAGACAGAAATTGGAGAATGTCGACTTTCACCGGAGAATATCAACATTCACCAAATACGTCGGTGGAAGACCGAATGTTTCACTACATTCTTGTATATTCGGACCCTCATCGGTGTATGTCGACAATCACAGATATGCTCTGGTGAAAGTCGAAAAGAGAGGTCATAAAGTGCCATAATAGTTTGAGTTGTTGCAATAGATAAGATTTGAATCACATAAGTTAGTAAGTTTTTTTATTACTGTTATTTTATTTTCTCATTTAGAACGTACTGTATAATTAAGTTTTTAACTTCTATTATTTTCCTTTCTCATTTTGAATGCATTGTGTGTTTTTAGGTTCTCATGTTCTTAAGTTTTTATTTCAAGTCTCAAGTGCGTTTATTCGCGACTGAATTACGGAGAAGAAAATATAATATTATTATATGTTCAACATTCACCATTAGTACATGGTGAATGTCGACATTGACCGGTGTAAGTCAGAAATAAGAGTATTTGGAAAATATTTCGGGCATACAACAAGAGACTATGTGAATGTTGACATTCATCAGTGAAAGTCCACATTTTCCAGATTTCGGTGTTTCACCGTAACATATGTACAGAGTAAAGATGTATTTATTTTTGTTTTTTAATTTTCTCGGAACGTTCTTATACAATTCTTAGCGTGGTGACTTTCAAGCGTTCCGTTACTAGATTCGTTAAAGAACTGTTGATGTTTTAAACCAAGACATAATTCCTGCGTTAGTTTAGTATTGTCTATCTCGAAAGTAGGACTCCTGGTTTCCAAATATGATATGCATGAAGTATTTAAATTACAGAATTATACGAATCTCAATGAATTTATTTCCTAATCGTCTTTCTATCTTCGTATTTTTTAATAATTTATCGAAAGTGATGACCTAAGAAAATTTAAATAAAGCGCTCGTACTTTATCTTATAAAATAAAATATCAGTTATTTTATAAAATTATATTAAATCAAATAACTTGAGCTTATAAAAACATATTCTAATTAATTTTTTCTACTTTTTATAAAAACAGGAAATACATATAGTGCATGAAATAAAACATTTTAAAGTAAAGTACAAAATATTTAAAATTTAAAAACACTTAAAAAATATAAAAGAACACAAAATTACATAAAATATAGGTTAATTTTTGTTTTTCTTCTTTCACCTCAGTTGATGTTTTAGGAGTATCTAAGCTGAAGCGAATATTTTTTTAAGTATTTTCATAAGATTTAGGAATAAGTTCGCTTAAAGGTCTCATATTTATGTTAAAATAAACAACAGGATTTCATCTCATCATCTCGGTGTTAAACAGTTTGATACAATAATTTTATTAAACAAAGAGGATAATTTCCAGCGCCTGTTAAAATTTTAGGTTACCTAAAACGCGTCTGACTGAATTTCAATAAAACGAGACGAGACTCTAATTCTCAGTAAGCGGGAGATTAAGTATGATTATTGTACAGAAGACATATGCTTTCTCAGAAAAAATAAACAGGCAAACAAAAAAAGAACAAGAGGCTAGCAAAACTGAATAATATTTTTACAATGGTCTCGCTCGAGCTTCCTGTAGTTCATTTTTGCTTCTGTAGATAATTAATTAAAGTTTTTGATATAAAGTTTTCGACTTGCCTTTTCGTTCCCAAAATTAGAACCTAAAATGAGACCACATTTAATAACTGCAATTTCCGTAAAAGCAGCTGTACGACATAAACTATCTTTCTGGTAGATAGGCCAACTTACGATTACTGGAAAATAATCTATACTTTGCTTATTTTCCTACCAGTCGCCCCGGTATGGGATATGGAACAAAGCAACATTTTATGTCTTACCGGTTCTCGCCATGTTTACATAGAGATTAAGTTGTTCATTCGTGCGAATCGGACTACTTTGGCTATCGACCAGTAATTTTGCCTTATGCGGTCTATTTTCTTGATGCGTTTTCGAGAAGTTCTTTTTTGAAGTATGCGGCTCCCCTCTGCAAAGGCTTCTTTCAAACAAAATACTCAGCGGGAAATGCAGGTAATAAGGACTTCTGTAGACCTTCTATGTTTGTCTTCGCGGGCAATGTGGTACTTGAAGTGTTTGCACCTAGTAAAGAAACTTTTACCACCCTCCCCTCAGTTTTTATGATTAAATAGAGTTTTTTGAACTCTGCGATGCCGACTACATTTGTGTTTTTTCTTTTTGTTATTCCCTCCAGCGAATGCAGAGTCTATGCAGACGAATAGGAATCGGGACTCGGTGAGGCCGCAGGTGCACAAGCAGAGCTCGGACCACAAACCGACACGGGTTCGGACCGTCCTGAACGAGAAGCAGCTGCATACGTTGCGCACTTGCTATGCTGCCAACCCCCGACCAGACGCCCTCATGAAAGAACAGTTAGTGGAAATGACGGGACTTAGTCCGCGTGTGATCAGGGTGTGGTTTCAGAACAAGAGGTGCAAAGACAAAAAGAAAAGCATCATGATGAAACAGATGCAACAGCAAGAAAAAGTGAGTACCTATTTTTTGTTTTATTTCCTTATTGGTAGATACGACTTACTAAATTCAAAATTTCAATTGTAGAATTCTTATAATTTAGTTAAAAATGTATGTGTCGGGTTCACAAACATTCATCTTTGACAGACACAAGTTTTTCTGATACTACATCAATTTGTAATACTAAAAAGCTTTCAAGAAAATTATAAATAGAAAATAAATTACTTATGTACAAGTCCATTTTGCGTCCCATGTTGTGCTATGCTTGCTCGGTATGGGCATTTGCTTCTAAAACCCATCGTAAGGAACTTCAAACTGCACAGAATGCAGTACTTCGGCAAATTACTAACTCCCCATGGTATGTTAGAAACAACAGAATTCGTGAGGAATTGAAAATTGTCCAACTAAGATCCTTCTTCATAAAATTGCCAAGAATTTTCACGAGATGCAAAATAACATTGATAATCTTGCAATCAAAATCTGTACCTATAACTACAAGGATCTTGATAATTTAAATCGACCACTTGCCATTTTAGATGTATGGAATATGTAACGTGTACTTTTTTGTTTTTTATGTTAACTTGCAATTTTATTTATGTAAATGTAATTGTACGTATACATTCAATCTCACTTGCACTGAGACACTGGCACTAACCCCTTCTATTGCAGAAATTTGTACTAGTACTTATTCATGCATTTATTGCTCTCAGTGAATTCTGTCACTCTATTTATGTATATATATATATATATATATATATATATATTAATTATAAAAAAATTATTAAGCCTTTATATACAGCTTTTATATATGTCATTTCTCTTCTCTTACGATTCGAAGTTACTTTCACGTTCCACAAAGGGTAGGGTTTCTAAACCCAGAAACCCTGGTGTTTTGACACCATTCTACTGGATCGAACTAAAAAGCTTTTAAGAAAATCATTTTTCTGCAATTGTCAGAACCCAGGTTATTTCAAAGATATGATGTCAAATGAAATATATATATTTTGAAAAATCATTTATGTATTAAATGTGAGTTGGTAGACAGGATTTTGTAAAAATGCATAACAGTTTTTGTGAATATTGTACCTAGTTTCTATGTTTACTATTTAGCATGATTAAAATTAAATTTCCTTTTTAACACTTAATATAATTAAAAGTCCCAATTTTTTTCAAAGCCTTTCTGCTTGATCATTTATAAATGCAATTTTAATGCCTGTGATTAAATATATTCAACATATTTAAATCAGTTACACCATGTTCTTTACATTAAAGTTGAACTTTTAGTGGGAATCATGGAAATATATATCCTTTCTGATTTAATATATCTGTTAACTAAAAGTACATACAATTTGTTTATTTTTGTATTTTTTGTAATTGTTATTATAAAGAGGTTTATTTATTATTAAAGAAGTGATCTGAAACTCCAAATCATCTCCTTAATAGTAAAGAAAAGCTTTTTGTTGATGAAAAGTTTATAATTCGATATATCATTTGCCATTTTTAATATATTCTGAAGGGATCAAAATGCAAGGTGTTATGTTACTAAGTTCCTATAAAAGCAAAAACATTCAAGTACCTAATAAAATTCTTTATATATAAATAAAATAGTTTACCTTAGATTATAGATTAATCTTTATTATTTACGTATATCGGCTGATTGAAGTATGGGAATGGTCGAAATGTCTTCGCACGAATTTTTGGAATCGGGAATAATATATTTAATGTTTGGCAATGCTGTTTTTTTTTTTTTTTTTTTTTTTTTTTTTTTTTTTTTTCATTGTAAAACCTAGAAATTTTTTATTAACAAACTCTAGGATTTGAAAGCGAGCAGTGGCAACAATTCTCAAAATAAATCAGATTTTTATCTCCAGCTTGCGAGACTGTTGCCACTCGGATAAACGAGGGTGAAATTTATCGTTTTTCCGAGTTTTTTATTAATATCTGTGATTTTAGCTGCCTTTTTTGGGAAAAAATGGACGTCAACCTTTCCGAGGACCCAGAAAAGAATTGCAGAAAATTTGGTGACAGTAGCTATGGCAGAGAGTTATTGGCAAACAAACAAACAGACTTTCTTCTTTATACTATATATAGATTATTTCGTATTTATTATATATTATAACATTCACAATAAAAGAAAGACTACATATTTATAAGGCGAAGACAAGGGTTAAAAATGACAAAGATTATGCTTAATAGATTAGATTTAAAAAGCGTTTCTTTACTTTCCAGTAGAGGGACTCAGTAATACTTATTATTATTGTTGTCGTCGCATTTATTATTGTTAACACTTATTGTCATTAATTACTTATTTTTAACACTTATCGCCACTATCACACTTATTATTATTGTACACTTAGCGTTTAAACCAAAACTTTCAAAAACAAATGCTATTGGATGATTGATTTTACTTTCATTTTGCAGTTATGTAAATATATGCGGAAAGATTTATTAGAATCATTTTACTATTTTTTAAATAGAAAGGCAAAATAAAAAGGAGACTTAGATTACTAAAAGTTAAATTTAAATTTTATCTTTTATATGTGTATTATATATAGAGAGAGAGTAATTGGCGAATGTTCCCCCAAAATATGTGCCGATGCTTGTGTCAACCATTTCTAATTTTATGTATATCGTTCTTTCGAGAATGGATCTAACTTGAAGTACAATAGTGTAAATACCTTGGCCATTTCTTTCTTTAACAGCCTTAATTTTGATATTCATAAAGAAAAGCAAGCATATTTTCAAATTCGCACATTTGGAGTAGTAGCTTTTTCCGAGGGGGAAGGAATAGACATGTAAAAATCTGCGACTTATCATTATGCAAAAGTAGTGTAACATTCTCCCATGTGCAACTAGGACGCTCATCAGGGATGATCTCAATTTCATTACCGTGTTTCGAATGCTCATCTCAGCAGCCAACCTCATTAACGTATCATCATTTTTTCAGAGGGGTGGAGTGGAGCTTTTCCTAAAGGGGTGCATTTCTTCCCTTTCAGAAAAATATAAAGATAATATATCACGTGACCCAGATGTTTGGTAAACCAAGGCACGTGCGATTGGCGGTTCCCCTAAACGAGTTCTTTGAGCGGCCACAAAGTCGTCTGCTGGGAAAGGAAAATTTAGTTTGCCCCCTCTCTTCCTCTAGGGAGATCTATCTCGTCCCGCCCATGGATATTTTTTTCTCAACCGCCCCCCTTCCGTCCAGTTTTATTTCTTTATGGGCAACCAATGCAAAGGTATACGCAACGGTCTGATGTTCGTAAGTCAGTAGCCAGCTAGACAAATTTCATCGTCTCTAATCTACTTATGGGCCGCTCCATAAGCTGATCCCATGAGATTTAGAAACGTTAATCATTGGCATGCGCTAGTGTTTCGGAGATCTAGGGGAGCTATCTTTCCCGACCACATAGGTTTGGGCTCATCGTCGTTCACTCCTGTTGTCTTTCCCTTCGACGGTTAAATTCTACTCCTTTAGTCATCGTACATTGTTGCGCCTCTTCATAAGCTGTGGATATTACTCCTATATTTAACTATTAATGAAATTTCTGCTTGGGAGCATTGAAGCAACTTGTTAACATCTATTATTTGGTTTCTAAATGTGGTAAAGCACTAGTAAGATGTCACACAATAAAGCATGTTTCATATATTTATACATTTCTGATAGAAGATTTAGATCAATTTGCATCAGTTTGTGGAAATATTCAAAGAGTTTTTTGGTAAAAGCCAAACATTCTGCTATAATATTTAACTTCATATATTATTTAAAATTTAATATTTGTTAAATTATATATGAGCAGACAGAAATTGCATAAAAATATATATGTATTATCCATACGTATATGTAATAGATTCTGTAGTAGAACGCAGGTGGTTGTATCCACAATGAACAGTTAAAATTTTGATGCCGTAGAATGCTGAAACGCCGATCCACAAGGAATAAGAAATTTGGTAATCAAGGTATATTTAACTTAACTTTTATTTCAGTAATTATGTTGTGGCCACAAACAAGTTGGCACATTTATTGTGCCTATTCCAAAAAAGCTTACATTTTTTTATAGATTTGTAGTAAAAAAAGAAGGAGCAGACAGACAGCAATCTAGCTAAGCCAAAGCGTTGAAAACAAGTGCGTTATGTTCAGAGTGAAATCTTAATTCAGACTGAGTTAGTTTTGGTTCTGAATGCATTTTGATTGGATGGTTAATATTGCTGTAATATTACTATTGGCTGTTTGAGTTTTAATTTCATTTACATCATCAGAATTATGTAAGAGTCATATGACACAGATTTTTCTCGAAATGAGGCAATGCAAATAGAGGTTACTATTTTTAGAATACAAAAGGGAATTAATTTTCTCTGCTAATTTAATCTTTTAACATATTCTTTATTTTTCTTACATATATCTATTCATATTATATGGATGAAAGCTTTTTTTTTTAAGATGCTGTGACGTTCTTGTTTTATCTTGGTCACTTTTGTCCGCTTAAATTTTTGCGTACAGTTATATGTATAGGAAATATTTTATAAGTACTGTATTAAATGTATTTATGTGTTTTCGTTTATAAGCGAAATGATGGCAAACATCCTTTTTTTTATTATTGTTTCCCCGAATGGAGGGCACTGTTTTGCGTTTCTTCGACACTGGCCACTCTTACGGCCGGAAGATGTAGCACCTAATAGGCGGCCACCATTACTTCCTATGAAGGACGACTATGGGTTCGAGCCCGGGCTCTTCGGTATCGAAGCCGGCTTCTCTAACCACTGTACCATCTGGGAGGCATGTGAAATATCCTAAAAAAAAAAAAAAAAAAAAAAAAAAAAAAAAAAAAAAAAAAAACTCTTTCAAAAGGCTCTATAAAACTATTTTCAGTGATGCCAAAAAAATTCAATTGAAATCGAAAGATTTATTTTAATAAAATGAAACTGAATAATTCACTTTAAGAAACATTTTGTGATTTTGTGCAACATGTCTCTTTATCTTATATTCAGAAACTAGAAATAACTTTCAGTGCGAGATG